GAACGGACGAGGATGTCAAATCGAGTGAGAATCGGGAAGGCGAGCAAGAAACACATTCATCAACCTGAAACAACCGATCTGGAAATCTTCGTCACTCAGCCAGCATCAACAACAAAATTCAGTCAGATTTTCAATACAAACAACGTCAAGTCAGTCAGTTCTTCTATACGGATCAGAAACTTGGCGGACGGATCACAAAGAATATTTCCAACAGCCTGTTGCAGACCTTTACCAACCAACAACTGTCTTCGCTGGATCTATGCTGAAGATCAGATGGCCAGGCCGGAAAGAATCACCAACAAGAGACTATGGGAAGGAACAAACAAAACAAGAACCAATCGCTACCCACCAAACATGCAGGAGGAGGCCGCTGGGTGACATCGCGCGCGCGTCAGGCCATTGCTCGAGTGAAACCCGAAAGGGAAGCGGCTAGTGGGTCGTCAGTGCAAGGGTGACATGGAGATCGTGTGAAGAGGAGCTGAAACAGTGTGGACTAACATGGATGCAGGTTAAAAGTACAGCAGAAGACAGAAGTGGCAAGTGGAGACGTGCAGTTGAAGCCTTATGTTCCACTAGGAACCCAAGGGAACAATAATAATAATAAATAACCTTCACGCCTAAATATCTCGTGAGTTCGAGTCTCACAACCAAAAAAAACAGGTGGTGCAGCGGTTAGGATGCTCGCCGACCATGCTTATGGTCCGGGGTTCAATCCCCGGCCGGCGTACTCCTTTACCTCACTCAACCAGAAGTAAAGCTGGTGAAGAGGAAAGGTTGGGCATGGGGCTAGCAACCCCATCCTGTAAAATTAAACACTGCTACAGAAACTTCAAGTCAATAGCTTGAAGCCCTATGTTCCACTGGGAACGTGAAGGAAAAAAAACACAATACAATGTTATTTCCTACTAGTAGATATAACAGATTATGAAAGCAAGGCTGAAACGAAAGATGACAATGGTTCTGTATCATCTGATAGCCACAGCAGCTACATGACTGACTGACTAACTGGTTTTAGTGGTTTGTGCAGATTAATATGGTACCATCCTTTGCTTATTTCGTTGGCTTCTCATCAGCTCAGCTGCTGCTTACAGCCTAAATAAATTATGAGGTTTACGTACTGAAAAGTTTTAACATACTTGCAAATTTTACATGTCGTCAGTTGACAGGAAGTTCCACAATTAGTGAAAAGTGCTCGGAAAATTGCGCTTATACAGTTTTTACACAGGCAATTCAAGTCTAAACAAAATAAATGTATGCATACAATGGTAAGGGAGTTACGTAATAAAGACGAGATATGCATTAGATGCAGATTGACTAATAAATTAGCTAACATTGTACTGAGTTCTACTCAAATGACAGAAATAAGAGACAAGCAAAATTACAGATTATAAAAGGGGTGGGGTTAAAGACAAAGATTACGTAATCAGATGAGAGAATAAAGACATTCAATTACCAGGGCAAGGAAAGAATAATAACTGCTTCTTTCTGAACACATAAATCAAACGCATATTTCGTCTTTGTTACGTAACTCCTTTACCATTGTATGCATACATTTATTTTGTTTAAACTTGAACTGCCTGTGTAAAAACTATATAGGCGCAATTCTCTGAGAACTGTTCACTAATTGTGGAACTTTCTGTCAACTGACAACATGTAAACAAATTTGCAAGTATGTTAAAACCGTTTCTGTATGTAGACCTCATAATTTATTTAGGCTGTAAGCAGCAACTGATGAGTAGCCAACTAAATAAACAAAGGATGGTATCATATTATTCTGCACAAACCACTGTTGTTCTTGCTTTATTCAAATTCATCAAGGGGAATAAATACATGAAGTAACTGATTTTAACATAGGAACTTTGCACAGAAGTACAACATCAACTCGAGTTGCCACACAAAGAATGATAAAAGAGGACAAAAAAGCAACTCGAAAGAACGATAATAGGCAGGAATATGAGGGAGAGAAAAAAACAGTAACATGGAAAAGCAGTAAGGATTTATTGGATATGCCAGAATACAGATAGTTCACAGGTGACTTCTACGACAGTGAAAACGACTTTTGAGTCATACCACCAGTCGTCTCCAATCACTCGTTCTTGGGATCCCGAGGATTGCAACCAGGCAGGCAGTCAACACCCGCATAAGTGGCTAGTTCAAACTAACTGTTATAGATTTCATGGACTGATGTCATGATTTTGGGTTTCACCACCACTAGCTAACTCTCTTCCAACCTGATCCTATGTCAGGTGACATTTTGCCTGTTGAAGAAAACGATGGATAGGTGCATACATAAAACATGTTCTAGCTATCTCAATCGATAGATTTTCCTTCCATACCTAACCCATTTGACGCTTAACTTCAATGCTACTTACCCTATTACACCAATTAACATGGGAGATAGAAGTCAGAGATTCATGATCATTCCTTCCTTCCACTTTCAATGGCCGTATCTCACAGCCATAAAGGAGGATGGAGTGAACTAGTTAGTGAGTAGTACAAACGTCCTTTTGGTCATTTCGATGGACATGAGATTTTATTCAACAAAAGAAGTAAAATAAATACTCGGCAAAACTAAATTCAGTTTCCTGAGAGCACCTGATAATAACAGCAATATATATCTGATATATGTAAGATGTAAAAACGTCTCCCAATTGTGTGGACCGGAATATAAACCTCAGAGTTTAGCAGTTTAGAGATAATACAACTGATAAAAATACGCAGAAAAAGATGACAACACCAAGAATAAGAAATTTAAAACATCAGTAGCGGTGCCGTACATAAGACGGAAACCCTGGAACCTTACTTAGAATCCTTAACAACTCAGTGATATACGCTATAATAAAGGTTTATGTATCTCCCAATGAATGAAAAACAAAACGATATTGTCGTTTTCACTGAATGCTAATAGCTTTATCAAAGTATTATTAAACCCGAATTTATAAAACCCACTCAGCATATATACAACAAAGAGTTAAGAGGTGAGAAAATAGACTACTCAGGTCAAGTTAAAGGGGACATATTGAAATTCAAAATAACAATGAAGATCACTAAACCAAATAACAATGGTAACAGTACGTCTGTTATGATATCAAAACAAAGTTTACTAATTTGATCATCGTCCCTCAGCATGAGGTCATTTTCCATTGTCAAGTTGGCCAGTTGTTAAAGATAACGAAACTAAGTGTAGATGACAATTGGATTTGATCAGTGTGTAAAATTATAAAAGCAGTGTGTGTTTACATTGTGAACTTGCTTATCACATTCGTGTTGATTTTGTCACTTCATGGGATAGGGGAGGGAGGTGTTGTAACCAGGTCAGATTCTGGTTTAGTCCATCATTCCTATTCAGTTCAGACAATTTGGATTCCACTTGATATGAAGTGCTTCTGATGATGTGAGACGTTCTTTGTGATTTCTGAAGTTTTTCTGGATTATTTCAATATTGTCAAAATCAATTTTGTGGCCTGATTATATAACGTGTAGACCTATGGCTGATGATTTTTCAAGTTTTTTTAGTTTAACTGGATTTCAAACCGTTAAAAGTGAACTTGGTTTGGATGTATATAACTCAGTGATATATATATATTAGGAATCGTACTCGTCATATTGGGGTTTTCCCATAGCTCTTTGAAAACTTTATAATACAGGAGAGTTAAGATGCTCTTCTGTTTCGGATGGTCGTTTGAAAACTGGTGAGCTATATCCATCAACTTGGCTTTAAAGCAACCCCCATCATCATCTGATGTTGCAACACGAGGTTGGTTTAAGGTGGTTGTATAAGTTTTCGGACCCAGTGTGGATGGCTAAATCCACAAATTGCTTACTAGGAACCAAGGGATAGTGCTTCTTTCTGATGAGTGGATAGAGAGTAATATCAAAAAGATTTGTTACATATATTTTGCGGGATCAATCGGGAAACAGCCTACCCAATTTCTATCATCAATTGAACTTTTCAATTTATTTCGTGTATTTGTTTTCATTTTATGAGTAACATTGCTACAAAACTGAAGGAATTTCATGTGGTATATTATTGATAGTTCAGATAAGTGACGCATCAACATGAAGGGTAATTAGCCTTGTAACTTTTGTTTAACATTATCGATATATTATGACTTTGTATAACAAACAAGACTAGAAACAGTTGGCTGTAATTTACTGAATTTCAAAGTTTTATAAAAACTATCTGAGAAAGGTATGATTTGTAAAATACAAGTGATAAAATTGCAATGCGTTGCATCCGGACAATTTTACACCTCACTTTGACGAGGTCATTTAACCTATTGATAGTGCGTGAATTATTTATTTTATTATTTATTTAAACGTAGAAATAACTTGGTACAATATGGCACCAAGAAAAATGCGCCACACATTAACAATAAAACATAGAGCGAAAGTAAAAAAAATATAAGTAGAGAACGGACAAAGAACTTCATCTGGAAGGAAAACAGTCATACTTAACAAGTTCAAACAGTATTCGTTAACTATCATCGGGAAGGGAAGAAAGAGGGAAATTGCAACACGTTCGCCATTGATTACGATTCTTGGCTATATCCGATAACGTTTCGAGCCATCGATTCGAGCTATCTCGCGGACCCCAACTAGGGAGTCGTGACACACCAACCGATGCTAGTCTAGTATAACCATCCTTTATCCCACGACGCCACGTCATGGACTGACGACCCCTCCGCCTTTTCCATCTCGTCCCACGGCCGGCTAGCGAACAGAGACCTGTACGGAAGCCTCTGAAATGACATTCGCAGCACATGTCCAAGCCACCGGAGTCGGTGTTTCCAGATGACAACACTCAATGAATGGTGATCTCCATTGTGAAGTGCGTGCTCTTTTGTTTCGAGAATTTGAAACAAATAATTCTCTAATATAACGACCATGAAACCTGATAAAAGTTTTGGAGGCGTCATCATTGAAGATAAATGATTAAAAGAATACCATGCATAATTATCATTGTTTAAACAACGCATCAAAGAATACATAACACTTACGATTCAGCATAAATTCTTGTAGATGTTTACTTATTGTTGGTTTCATTTTACCATAGTATGATGATGATGTATGCTTATTATTATGCTGTTGAGGTGAAGCATTATGTTGATGATGGTGGTGTTGATGAGTAGAATAATGAGATGAAGAATGCTGTTGTCCACCACCACCAGGATTAGAAACAGATGAAGCGTTAACATTATTACCAGAGATACTATGAGACACATAACTTTCTTTATGTGCATTATGATGGTGATGTTGATGATGTTGGATGTGGTGGTGATGGTGCTGTGAATTATTATATGAAAAATGAACACCAGACGTGTTGTAATGATGTGAACGATGGTGGTGATGATGATGAGGAGGAGGAGCTGAATCTCTACACGCACATTCAAAACTAGTATTACTTCGTGTATGACTATGACTAATCATAGGGCTAGATATTGTAGGCGATTGATTACCACCACCACCCATAGCTGATGTGGATGAATTTGTCATACAGGTTGAAGATGATACTGTAACAGTATTATTATTATTAACCAGACTGTTCGCTGTATTAGACTGACCAGAATTATCATGGCTTGATTTGTTAAAAGGAGAGGATACTTCAGGTAATCCACCACCAGTCGATCTGATCATCCTACATAAAAATGATATTTAAAAACAAAGCCAGTTAAAGAAATCATAGCCCTGTAATGTGCGATCAGCACGAAATTTTTATCTTATTTGGGACTCATTAACACTATTACTATTCCCTCAGGTTCTGAGTGAAATATAGTTTCAGCGGCACATCTCCGTCTCACCTTGTTGTCATGTACATTCCTTTTTTTAGCTGGTTCCACGATTTGCCAAGAGTTTCAATTCACTCCTCCTTATATGATCTCCTCCATATCACCCTCGGACAAAGGCCCAACTTGGCGTATCCAATCCACGTTCTGCTTGACGGCCCGATGCGTGATTTCACTCGACGGTCACCTCAGTGTACGTGTCCACTCCATCTTCATTTCCTTAGATATATATTTGTTTGCAGTATATTCTTGGTTGGTTCGCCGGTTGCTACAGTTCTTCATCGCTTGTCCTTTCGCGTCGAACATCTGATCAGTATGGAGAGAAGGCAACTGTTGATGAAAGTCTGCGACCTGTTGGAAATGCTTTTGGTGACCCTCCAAGTCTCTGAACTATATAAAAGCGCAAACACTCATAAGCATGATGTACGTGAAATAAAAATACTAAGGAAAACATCTATTTATCTGAAATGTAAGTCTGGAAAACAGAATTTCAATAAGATGTATGATAGGCCATGAACAATTTACCTTATATATTCAACAACCGATACTCGCTGCACTACACACTTCTGAAGCTACGCATTTAGGATCGTCATACTTATATCTAGTCTTAGCCACCAGGCAAATATTTCGGTTGAGTCATTCGATGCATATTCACAATTTGAGTTAGACACTTTTCCTCTGAAAAGAGTTTACTTGCTATTCTCGCCACATATGTAATGTTGTCAACCGAAACTGCTGTTTACTTTCTGCAGGTGTGGCCTACACTTACACTGTTGAGATTTACCGTCTTCGGATATCTCATTGTAACTACAAACTGCAATAGTTACATAATAAATTATGAACCCCCTGAACTTTCACTGTGGTTATAGTTTGTCTTAGATATTCGCATTCCAATCACAGATCAGGTTTTCACCCTCTTACGGTAAACATGTTTAGAACCAAGCACTTAGTCTAATCATTATTATGCTAAGAAATTTGTTTTCCCATTGGTATTTCCACTTTCCGACGTCATTTCTGAGGCGAATGAAGTGGACACCTTAGATCATACTTATACCCCTGTATCACTCCCTATGCACTACCTCTCATTTTCTGTATAGACATGATGAGGTAAACAGAGATATATTAGCCCAAGCAATTAATGTGCTATGTTCGAGATTAACTTCAGCGTTCAACATAGTGAAAGAGGACAGTCAATGAGGTCAAAGAGAATGACCAACGTAAGGAACAGATTTAAGTAATTAATGATATACAGAGGTGCTTCCATTTCCTGGAGTACACTGAAGAAGAAACCGCTCCTGTTGTGATATTTGCCTAAAGCTGAAATATGTTTGCTTAATAGAGACACGCATCCCTTATGATCAATAAAGACAATAAATATAATAATAGAAACAAAATATTGCACCAATAGGTGTGATTACCTTGGGATATAATCCCGGTTGTGTTTTGACTGGTCTGCCATGAGAAAATATCTAGATGAAGAGAGAAAAATCAAGTTAAATTCACTGCATAATCTCCAGTCGATTAAAAAACAACTATGACTAAAAACGGATATGTACTATACCAAAATTATTACGAACTACTTCGTAGGATAACTTAGTAGCCGCATGCCAAGAACAGGTCATCCCTACAGTATTGTCTCAAGCTAACACGCAAGAGACAGGCTAATCACAGAATTTTCCTTCAACTACTCAAAACGCCCTGTATATTAAGGGGATACTTACCCTGGCGAAAGTGGAAATAATATCACTTGTATTGCTACATATTCTTACATTTTTAGTGATGATACAGAATACTGTTTTCGGACACCATTATTTTCAACTCAGATAGTAAATATCTAAGAAGACTAAGTGAGCTTGACTTAAAGGATTCAGCAAACACTTAATATTCTTTTCAAAACCAGATAACTCTAAAATTATTACAGAGCAATGAAGTTGTGTATCACATCAGACAAGGGAAACCCTAGTAGTGTCAACATTCAATTAGATTTAAAAAATTTCATTTGCTGTGATAAAGTCTCGTTGTAACTAGTTTGTTGTTATCCTAGTCAGTTAGCAGGGTTTTATCATGGTTAAACCACAAAATACACAATTAGGGAGTTGGAACGATTGTTATGTACTTATTGCATCAAATATTTCCAATACACTTAGATGTAGTATGATCTTTTAAACTAGAAAATTGCTTTTGGTACATTTTAAGTGATGCTGAACCGCTGGAAACACCGTAAAAATCATGATTAAGTTAATACATCATCACTAATACAAGTGAACACCATGAGTTCGGCGGTGGTGAAAATATTCGTTCCTTATGGTGCGCTGATGTTTGGTCTTATGGAAAAACATCAAAAATATTGTAGGATTAAGAATACTGAATGGTGTTTACGGATATTTAAATTAGGCTTCAGTTAATTATACTATGCTGTGTATAAACGATAAAAACGAAGTTGTGAACGCAAACACGAAGAAGTCACAAAAAATTCTCCTAAAGCACATACCTCAAAATTTAACCAGGAACTACTCGATAATTAGACGCTGACTGATAAATTATCAAGTGTTCGAACTGCGTACCAACCTTGCAAGTGCTTAAGCGCCTTCTATGAAAGAAACATTCAAGAATTATTGAATACTCTGAAGATTCAGATTTATCAATTGAGGACATAAAACTTGAAGCCTATGTTAATCCTCTTGTAATAATTTTTGTGCTTATCCAACTTTTCCTTAGTGAGTCAGCCGGGGGGGCTGATAATACTTCTTCTGGAAGTCTGTTTCAGGAGTTTATTACCCGGTGTGAGAACCACTACTGCGCGGCGATATAGTTATTCCTTAGCTTTTGAACGCCACTCCTGTGTTTTCTGATGCGGCCAAATATGGTGGTAAGAGAAACAGATAACAGATCAGGTCCGTGGTCATTAATAAAATTTTCAAACATTGTAGTGAGGTCTGTGGAGTCTGGCACAGAAAGACTGTACAGTTTTCCGTAAGTGCTAAATATGCAAACGTACACAACATTTGTTTAAAGCGATTCATTGTAAAGCATAGATAACTTTGGAGTGCGATGTATAATACAATATGCTGCCCGATGCTTCGTATTCTCACTGTTCAATACTGTTTCTGTCAGTGCAGTTGAAGATTGAACGATCAATTCATGGTTGTTTGCTCAAACCCAACTTCCCCATAATTTTCGCGCGTGATCAATCTGCCAGTCATCGTCTCATCGGTCCCTGTTCACAAAGGACCTAGAAAAAAACTGTCAGAAGTAATATCGTGATTTATTGTTGTAATATTCGTTCTCAGAGCTTAGGTTATTACGCTGCTTATATGTTGGTGTTAGAATAAAGAATTCTCGAGTCGCCAGTCGGTGTTCTGGTTTTTGCGTCCGTTAGTACTAAGCGTTTCTGAAAGGTTTCGAGGTACAGCGAGAGGCTCGGTGTAGCAAGATCTGGGCATTAACGGTTTGTGAGACGTGATTCACAGTCTCCTTGCATCACTACTAACCGGATTGTGTCCTCCGGATTTTACGCGATCTCATCCTCATTCGAAGTCTATCCTACATTCAGTGCTTGGCTTCTACTGGTATACACGAATCCGGCAGTGGGCGTTTCTGTGGATTATAATAATGAGGTGCAGCAGCGGACTTCAACTTTATAACCAGGAACTCATTAATTCCTATAACCCGTTAACGGTAGTTTTATAATTTACTTTAACAGTATCATTTCATAAACGTGGATTCTTATTCTGGTATTCTGTACCGTTGCCGATCTCTCTAGTAAGTCCTCTACAAGTCTCCCTTCTGCCTACGGTATGACAAGTTCAGATTTTCGCGACTTTCAACATATGATAAGTAACGTAAAGAATCGTGAGTGTTACCTTCCTCTGAACTTCCTACAGAATATATGAGCATGGAGTTTTCCAGTCTTGACCTCACCATGGGATGCGCATGAAGTAAAAACATCTCTGGCGGTTCTAGCAAACGCTCTGCATGTTGGTAGGGTAGTATGTTTAGACAGTGTAGTGATCTCTCTTGATGAGTGTCTGTCTCAGTCCACTACTTCCCATAAGTTGACTGTTTTTTTTCCTTCACGTTCCCAGTGGAACTTAGGGCTTCATCTAGTGGCTTAAAATTTCTGTACCAATGTTTATTTTACAGGATAGGGTCGCTGGCCTCATGCTCAACCTTTCCTCTTCACCAGCATTATTTCTGGCTTAGCGAGGTACAGGAGTCCGCCGGTTGGGGATCGAACCCGAACCATGTGCATGGTCGGTGAGCGTCCTAACCTCTGCCACCAACTCATAAGCTGAATGTAAACAGATACAGTTCATCTGGACAATAGGCTACTACTGTTGTATTTTAGTTAGATTCTGGCTGGAATGTGTATTTCGAAAAAGTATAGTTTTCTGAACAGCCGCCCGGAAAATAATGTAAAACTGTGGCGGGCGTCGATGAAATATTGCATAACTAAAATCTCGAAGTATTGTCCGACAATTCCGTGAAATCAGTACAATGCACTTCAGAAAACACTCAACATTAAACGTGACTTTACTCTTCTGGCAGTTTTTTCAGGCCGAAGAGTCCTGGTCATGTATCCCAAACATGTGATACTTCATCGTATGAAGTTTGTGGACTATCTCTGTGTAGTTAAGCGCGGATATTTATTTCTCACCGTCACATGTGGAAAAAATTCGGGCTCTGGACTATCGTGCAGTTTCAGATCAAATTTTCGATTGAGAACAAAATGCTTAGAGTTAATGTTTGAATAGGTCTTACGTTATGATACGGGCCGCAGAGAATATTACGGAAGCAGAAGGCGTTCTGTATTGATACACACAGATCATCCTGCGAATAAACATCGAAACAAGTCGAATTTCCATGATGCTTGTACTGCATGTTAAAAAATTACTCAGTTCAAAATGTTTCAGTTGAAAATTTGTGTTGTACATTCTTCTAGCAGATGAATTGATACAAAAACGGAGTAACTCTTGACGCAAGAGCCTGCGTGTTAATGATTTGGTGACTATCAAGGAATTTGAATGTCATCTGCTTATTCCAATGCACTCGTTTCACTAGACTAGGAATTAGCGAGTCAAATCAACAATTTGTCGTTCACAATACGACATATCTCCCGGAATCTTCTTTATGCTAAACTGAATAGGAATAGCGGACAAACGACAGAACGCAACATGACAGCGCGAAAATGATGAAGGCGACTTATTAAGTGCCTTCTACTCAGCCTATCAAACAAAACACCGGATATCTACTTTAAATGCTTTATGATGTACTAATAACATCAGCATCATCGCGAATTAGTCTATTCCAGATTGAGTAAATGTTGGTCAATAATAATACAGGTATTTACCGTGAACTCAAAAATTAAGGAAGTCAGGGCATCTGCGAAAATCTCTGCGTAATCATTTACTACAGGAGGCAGGCGGCATATTCTCGCAGTATCGTGTTATGACTGTGGCGCTGAATGCTCATATTGAAGAAGCGTATTGCAAATAATTTCCCAAAGCAAAACAGAGGCTGGATTCATATTTGATATCAGGGAGTTAGCTCATAATGACACTGATTATGGACTACGTAGCTTTTTTGACAGTTACACTTCTTGAAGTGTCGGGCCTCGGTGGCACAGCAGTTAGGACGCTCGCCGACCATGCTTATGGTCCGGGTTCGATCCCCGGCCGACGCATTCCTTTACCTCCCTAAGAAAGAAATAATGATGGTTGGGCATGAGGCTGGAAACCCCATCCTGTAAAAATAAACACTGCTACAGAAGCTTCAAACCACTGGTTAAAGCCCTATGTTCCACTGGGAACGTGAAGGAAAAATTATTTTTATTTACACTTCTTTAAGAGCATTCGAAAACTACCATGACGAAGAGGCAGATGTATTTGCAAGGATTATAGAAGAAGGCCTCATGTGATGTATTATACAACAATTTTACGATTAGAGTAAGTATTTACTACTACTACAACACTGATGTGTTCTGTTTGGCTTTCCTTTATTTGGTCTGTTCCTTCCTGTCACTCAGGTCGAATCCTTTTATACTGTGAACCTAAAGTTATTATATTGGCGCAGGACTTCCGGCGCGGTTTTTAATTTAGCTTTATTATGCCATAAAGGTTCTGAAAATATTTATATACACTTTATCTTACCACGCTACATCTTCAACAAACAGTCAGTCTGTCTCATCTGATTGAAATCAAAGAAGTGTATCGTGGACAAGATCGCCTGAAGGGATTGGCTGACAGTTGCTACATTGTACTGAGGCGGGGGAATTTCATGGCCTCTTTGCACTCACCCTAGAATGGATGAAAGCGTTACAACCTTCCATCAACAGTTGGAGTTGGCATTAGAAGAAGCCTAGCCATCAGGTTAGAGTGGATTAAGCCAAAGAGTCAGTCGACTGTATGACTGAAGCCCAGATCTAGAAGGACGGGTGGTCATGTAACAAACGTGGGTGTTGTTTCCAGTTCTTTCCAACAATTAAAGGAGCACAGATTTATTAGGGCAGTCCCTAGGTAGTCACGGATTCCGCCACGTGCTGCCCCCGCTTCCCAAGGTTTCCCGGACCACTTAAGCAGAGATTTCAATACAATAGTGTTGTAGGGGATCAAAGAAGTCCGACGATTCTTTGGAATCTCAGCCATTCCTCTTCCAACAGCCAGTCTGTTTACCTGTGCTGACTGATACCAGCTGAGGTCGAGTGAGTTTTGAAGGAACAAGGGCATAGCTGTGCGTCGTAGTACGGCTGTGCATCTTTGTGCTCTTTTCATACCCTCATTAATAAATAAATCCACTGTTGAACCATATTTAGCGATGAGTGACCTCCCGTGTGCTCAACTAGGTTTCCGTGGTTCACTTGCTCTCCAGTATGCTCACGAAGTACATCTTTAGGATCAGCTGCTTCTATCCATTACAGAGTGTACCAGCAGTCAGTAACTCTGGAAGTTATTTTCCTACTGAAGTTAGGCAATAAAGTCAAACAGTATGTCAAAGGAAAAAGGCAGATAAATGGTACTAAAATCATTGTCGTGGTTGGCTGAGTGACAGAAATCGAGTGTCAAGTTTTCTAGAATAGGGCTTTCGAGACAGAGTGTTGTGTTTTCACTTCAATGAACATGAATAGGCGGTGCAGAGCGGGTCAGTTTCAGTCGGAATTTCCTACGAAAGTTGGTTTTATCTGATTTCGTATCACGTGCTTTGAGAAGTGCTGGAAACATAACAGGTGTTAAGTTTGGTCCTTTTATAGGTGTATAAGCAACATTTTTACACATGTATGGTCTATATTGCGGCTTTTGCACGAAAGCTCCTCGGGAATGCCTATATGCTCGCCCACTCCTATCACACTTTTCCTTCACTGAATCACGTCTTGGTGCATTATGGTCACCATGAGGTACACCACAAAAAATGTTATCGTTCGTGTGAGGATGGGAATACTGCAAGCACGACTAACACCCAGAACAAATCAAGTAACTGTCTTAGGGAGGCCAGCCTCCCCTGAGCCTTTACCTTGAATCTTGATGCACAAGGCAGTAGAGCAGCACCAGAAGACAAGTTCTTATTGTTTCTGGTGTGCAGGACAGAT